CCCCCCCCCCACCCCCTTGTACCACGGTGGGGGTATGAATTTGCGTGTACGTCAGAGGGTTAATATCCACATCACAGCTACCTGGGCTACATATGACTAACTAGTAAAGACTAACTCATCAAGGCAGTCCAAAACGACGATCATGTGCTCATTTTTGGTTCTGTGGAGTACTTTGCTTTGATTCAATACAATTTAGTTCTGACTCTAATATATTTTTTTTCTCATTTTGCTCGATAAGTCCTGATTGTTCCTTCAGCTTAACGACACAGTTTCTACAGACCTGCCAACATGTTATTTGTTTTCACCCGATGCAAAATTTTTTCCGTCAATTACCTTGAGTTGTTTTCAGTCCTACATGAGCAATAATCCTTTCGTAAGTCTTATCTGTTATAACAAGATGGCTAAATTTCACCAAACTCATGGTTTTAAAAATGCATAGCAAATTTCTTTGACTTTTACCCACATACATATATCCATAAACACATACACATGAATTTCTCAAAAAGGCTTTTCAACGACTATTTACAACCAATACAAATATTAATATTATTGAGATTTGACAAGCTATAAAGTGATAAATAAATATAATTTAAGTGATATAATGTCAGCGTAGCAAGTGCTTTCTGCTTCAAGTGACTAGGTAAGCTAGTCTGATGCCTTTCTTGAATTTACTAAGACTTTCCCCTTTGAGATTAGAGTCTAGTGAATTTCATATCTTAAGTGTTTTATACGTAAAAGAGCACTGACCACTGGTTGTTCTATATATGTGGATAGATTTAGGTTATTGCAAAACCTGGTGTTTCAAACGTGGATATCTGATCGCTAAAAAAAAACATGCAAGATAATCAAGTGCGACGTGGTTATCTGATCTCTCAAAAAAAAATTGGGAAGATAATGAGTTGCAAGTTCATTAATGCACCTTCACAGAACATACAAAAATAAAGCATTGTTATACTCTGGAGTGTCGTGTGGTGTGTTGCATAAGAAAATGTCCAATCACAAGGTGTATAAGTAATCAAGCCAATCAGAACTAGACACATATCTTTGCAAAACTGTGGGATATCAGAACAAGCTTTTCGGAGGCATAGCTCAGATGGACTACATCCCATTTTAGGGTTGCAAAGCAGGTTATCCTGCAGGTAGGTAAAGACTTTTCTCTAATCAAGGCATTTAGAATTTAGGATTTTAGGCCACTGATATACTTTGGAATAATACAAGTATCAATTCTTTTTGGAAGTGCTCAAAGAACGTAAAATGCCAGCCAAACCATACTAATAAGCCTTTCCTAAAAATACCATAATACTCTTTAATCTGTAGGTTTAGCCTGGGTACTTTTCCAAGGTTATTTGTTAAAAAATGCACAATGGAATTCAGAGTCCGTGTGAGCAGTTTTTGCTTGAAAACAATTTTGGAAACCTTGCAACTCAGTTGCAATTTGAAACATCTGTAAAGTAAGCCTCTAAAGTGAAAGAACATGTGGGAAATGGAACTGCATTTAGGTCAAGGTTTACTTCCTAAGTTGTGTCTGTATGCAAATGAAGCACTATGCAAATTGTTGAAACTTGATGCTTTAGCACATGCAGCATGTGCCAAGATTCTCCTGAACATGAGACTACACCTGCACATTAAAAGTATGATTGTCTATTTTTAAAAAAAACCTATTGACTGGTGCAATCATGAAATCTAATCAGGTAAATGAAGAGAAATAGATACCCACCATTTCAACAAGCTTTTTGTTCCCTGTGATTAGAGCTTTTGCCAAATTTGACTTTCCAATTCTGATTTGTGTAAGCAGATCCTCATCACCCATCATTGAAATGCTGAAAGTACACAAAGGGGAAAATGAATGACAATATACAAAAACATACATATAGATAAATAGTTTTAAAAGCCACATCCTTTATAAAACTGGTTCTAACTCTTGCGGGCAAAGGGTCTAACGGTTCAGTCTATTCCAAGCGTGCCCATCCACCCCCCAGACATTTGTTGGGCATTTGTCGTTTTGTTTTGGAACAACAGCAACTGCCCATGGTGGGCCATGGCGGTTCATACAAGAAACCCACGGTAGGGCTTAAAACAGTGTGCAAATGCCCCACCCCAGGGAAAGACCAAAATTTCATTTTCCTGTAAATAAGCTGCATATGCCATATTTATAGCAAATCTGTACTAATCTGATCAAAACACATGAAGCACCCTATGCAAATTGCTCCTAGCTGCTATTTATAATAAATATTATTACTGAAAAAAAATCACTTTGATCTGATTAATATCAGTGACAGAACTACAAACTTGGATTTTAATAATACCCTTCCTATTTTTGAATGATAAACAAACAATAGACGAGTTTAACGTGAGTATTTTCTCATCATGATGGAGTTGTTTTGTCAACGCACTTGTTGTTGCATTCATGATTGTACAATACACAAATAGCTTTCAAATATCTTGCAGAGTCTTTATAGGCCTTTCTGCCTCTACCATTTGCTCACGAAGAAAGTTTCTTTTCCTTTACACTCTTCAAAAGATGTAAATTATGATCATTTTTCATGTGCGAATTGATCACAATGGCGGGAAGCAATTTCCAAGACAGATAGAAACACCGATTTCTTTCTGAACCAATTTATAGAAATGTCGATACCCGTCTAAATAGCCATATTTTTAAGCGAAATATCAAAAAAGGAACAATGTTAACTGTTTCTAGAAGAATAGACAAATGCCTTACCCCTGGGCAGAGGTTTTCTGACTCATTCCCCTCCGCCAGGACTGACAAGATGACAAATACCCCATAAAGGCCGGGGGAGGGGAGGGGGGGGGGGGCGGTGGTGGAAGCAGCAGGCTTGGGATTGACTGAGCCATAGTTGTTTTGTTATCACCCAACTAGTCAGACAACTGAGAAAAAAAGAAATGCGCCTACAAAGCAGTAGTAAAGCCGGTTATTATTGTCTTGTGAGATAATATACACCAAACAGATGTTTTCAGAAAAGTGCGACATACACATCATTACAATATACATGACTTTCTGTCATGTCTCCTTTCGCGGTTCACGTGAATTACCCTCCAAGAAATTAAAAATCAAAGGAGGTGGAAAGCTCTGTAGTTGAGTTTTAATATGAATCATGAAAAAACATGTTAACCATTGCAGATTGTATAAACGATCACTGAATGTTAACTGAGTCCAGCCATTTTCGAGTACGGGCATGGGTAGGACACGTGCGTCGCTCAAATCACATTATCATTAAATAGCGCTAAAAATGACACAATAAGACAATGTCATAGGATATTCGCTGCTATTTTGCGGTGAGGTGCACATTCAATGCCTAAATCACTTCAAACATCCCCGTTTTAAAAGACAAAGAATGGTAAAAACAAGAGCTCGCTTACCTGCTATACTCGTCACGAAGTCTTCTTAAAAAGGAATTTCAAGTATGCCTCACGAAATGTCCATCTAAGTTTAATGTCTACCATGCACCAGGGTTAAACCTTTGCAATTAACGATCATCACTAGCTTTGAGAATTTTATGATACAAACAAAAACTGTATGCCTTTAGTAGTTTCATCGTTGGCACGAAAATAATATTTATATGTATTTTTTTTCGGGCCGAGGCAACCCTCTGGGTTGGGTAACCTTCTGGGTGAGGTAACCTTACAACTTCACGGTACAAAAACAGGAGGAAAACCAGGCTGGTAATGATTCAGCAAAAAAGTTGAGAACTCGCTACACAGGCAGATGTTCTTTAGCAGGTTAAAGGTGAGGTTGGATTGCTATGGTTTTGCCCTAGGGATGGGTGTGCCTCCGTGTGACTGGAGGATTTTATTGTTTTCTCAGGGGCCGAAAAAAGTCCGAAAACAGCCGTATTATCTTGCTTTTGGCAGCATAAATAGCTTTAATGCTTAAATTACATCTCAAACCATATTGAAATACAAAATTTACTTCATTTATACTTAACTTTGCAGCATGTTCTAACGCTGTTGCAAAAGTGCCCTAAAACGTTTCGGAAAGAAGGAGTGCTAAATCTTGCACTAAGTACATAAAATTTAGCGTGGAATTAACTTTCTTCATATTAATGCACTGTGCCAAGTTAAAATTGTC